CACCACCTTCAATTATTTATGAGATAATAAAGGTAACATAAAAAAAAACCTCTTTAAAAATGGCAAACTAGTAGTTGATGATTTAAAAAGTAGAGCAGGGGTCTTCAAACTGGGTCCTTTTATGACTTGTGGACTTCAACTCTCAGAATTCCTCAGCCAGGCATGCTGGCTGAGGAATTCTGAGAGTTGAAGTCCACAAGTCATAAAAGGGCCCAGTTTGAAAACCCCTGCATTAGAGAGATATATAAAGGGGTATTGAGAGACTGACTCAAGAATAGATAATGGAAAAAAACAGGAATAAAGGAACTGAAGAATGTCTGAATGCTTATTCCTCTGCCTACTCCAAATAGGCAACCTGAGACAACCTTGGCTTGCTACAGAACAGACTCTGTCTTTACCGATATTGAACCATGCATGAATAATTGCCTTTGAGGCATCTTTTCTTGCCAAGTAGATGGCTTTCAGAAGCCAACTGTAGCTGACTTCATTTCCCCAGGATACATTTAGTACTGAAATCTAAACTGGCTAGATGCCCTAATTTTCTCTAAGAAATTTTGCAAATTTTAGGGAAGTGTGAGATCTCTGAATGAAAATAGGGTAATTTGAAAGGCTTTGGTCAGAACTAATTTAAAACTGATTTATGTATGCTTTTATAAATATGGGAAAGTCTGTGGTCTGGTGAATATGGATTATTTCCTCCTAAAAAGTACAGTCTCTTGGGAAAACATACCTGCATAACCTATCTGTAATATATTTAAAAGAGCTTTGATTACAGCAATATTTTCTGTTCCAAATGGAAATGGGGGAAAAAATAAGAGAGGGACAATGTTACAACAGATGCCAGAAATAATATGAACAATAGAGCTCCTATCCTGTTATTTTCCAAACATTAATAATCATTCAAAAGAATCTAAACATTTACAAAAACCAATTAATCTTCAACAGCAAAATTAATATATGAAATTCACACAGCTAATTTGATTTCACATCATATCAACCAACACTGCATTTTGTGCTCAACCTTAAATGATTCTAGTATTCCTTTCTATTTTGCACATTTTAAAAATATTTTTAAGTAAAATATGTTTATTCCTTATATAATCCTTTGTGTTTTTGTCACCTTTACTGCCATAATAAAACCTTGGCGTTAGAAAGGCTACTAGGATCATTGAATCCATCCTTCTGCTCAGTGCGGGAATTCTGAAATAGCTAAAGAAAGCTTCCTCTTTTGGCCATTAATGCATGAAAAGCAATGCTAGTGATCTTTTAGAAGAATGCAGATTATCTTGAGTAAATATTGGCTAAGATGTTGGATTATAACTGGGATCGTGGAGAACTAGGTAAGTCCTCCCTAAACCATGAAAGGTCACTAAATCAAAGAGTTATTGTTGTGGTATAACAATAGTGAAGGAAATGTTGTGTACCATTAGAGCAGGGGTGTCAAACTGCCAGCTCGTGGGCCAGTTGCATCATATGGAGGCCATGCCCACCCAGTTCCAGCAATGCAAAGAAAGTCACGATACATTGCGACACGTCACATGACGTGGGGAGTTTGACACCCATGCTCTAAAGCAAATAAATTGAAACAAATAAATCATTAGTCGTTGGTTGTAAATAAACAGATTTTTTTTACAAATTAGACACAAAGAATTGCTGGATTAAACATTGCTGATTCATACATATGTTAAAGAGAGGAAAAGAGAGAAAGGATCAGTAACAGAACCAACAGCAGATTTTCTAAAGGTATCTCATATTAAGAAAATCTTGGCTAGTTTTACAAAGTTAAGATGCCTCAAATATTCTCAAAGAGAAATGACTAGCTGTTTAAAAAGCTATTTACTCCATTTATGAAACCAATGCAATGACAATTTGATTTGATTTGGAATTGAAGGCTTTGTTGTGTAATAAAACCATGCTTTCCTTAGAAAAGACAACATTACAAATAGCTTTAGATTTAGCTCTTTAGAGCTTCACATTGTCAAAATCAACAAAAGAACTGACTGAGAATAGCTTAGGAAAGTATAGAAAAAGTGAACATTTTTGTGATAACCAAATATTGTTTATTATGCACAGGAATTGAGTTTTTTCAGTAGTTCGAAAATGTCCTTTTCCCAAATTATCATATTTTTATATACCTCTTACTAACAATGTCCACTAGCAGAATAAGCAAGGGTCAAAAGCAGAACAAACCCCATTCTTTTTCTCTGAGCATTGCACATAAATCTTTTGAACACTGTTGCCTTATTTTTGTTATTTTTGTTACATGCTTTAGAAATCTAATAACTTATCTAAAAATAGCCCAGGTTAAAAATTGGAAAACTACCCTGTGACACATGGAATGTGAAGAATGTCATTCTGTAATAAAGATATAATGAATATTCTCCAAAAAATATAAAGTAGCAAAAATAATCCAAAATATATTTAAAGGTAGATCATGAAAATGCTCAGGTTGTTTGACATTCCTAAAAATATATTGATGGAAAGTTTTGGGGATCTTTCGGTTACAGTTCCTCTGAAAATTGCCCTTCTCAGAAGTCCAAATCTAAGTCTACGCTACAAATTTTTTCCATGACCTGTGAAATATGAGATTAGCATCTTTTTAATCTAAACCTGCTGCAAAAAGAATAGGTTTAAAAGATTTACCTTTTGAGGCTTGCAGGCTGGAGAGGAAATAGCTCATCTGAGGATTTCCTGGGGATTCTGTATTCTGGACTTATAAAAACCTCAAGCAAAAATGATTGTTCGGGAGATGTTACAGTGTCTAAATGTTAAACTTTTTTCCAGACATGTTATCTATTATTTCAGTTGTACAATTTAACATTTTTATCACCCAAGGTAACCTGGATTTTATTCAGACAGCTGTTGGTGCACTGTTGCTGTGGGACAAACATGTGAAAAACAGATTCAGGATATGCCCCTAATGTAGTGAAGTTCTCATAATTATCCACCATTATGCATATGATCAATTTTGGCATTTTTGAAATTCAGAAAGTGCCCGAAACTCTACCTACATGAACAATCATATTTTTATTTAATATTGCTTAAAAAGACCTGAGGATGTTATCAGAGATAAATAAATTTAGCCCAGATCTAAAAAATAATAATATACTATAAGATACTCCTCAGCCTATGACCACAATTGAGCCCAAAATTTCTGTTGCTAAGCGAGACATTTGTTAAGTGAGTTTTGCCCCATTTTATGACAGTTGTTAAGTGAATCACTGCAGTTGTTAAGTTAACAACACAGTGGTTAAGTGAATCTGGCTTCTCCATTGACTTTGCTTGTCAGAAGTTCACAAAAGGTTCACAAAAGGTGACTACATGACCCCAGGACACTGCAACCGTCATAAATATGAGTCAGTTGCCAGGACTCTGAATTTTGATCACGTGACCACAGAGATGCTGCAAAGGTCATAAGTGTGAAAAATAGCCATAAGTAACTTTTTCCAGTGCCACTGTAACTTAAAATGAACTGATTAAACAAATTGTTGTAAGTCAAGGACTGCCTGTACATATGTTACTTACTCCCCCCCCCCCAAAAAAAAGAGTTGGTCATTTTAGTCTTTTAAATTCCTTTAGCAATGTGGCTCAAATTAAAATTTCCAATCTGACTTCCTAGGAATTATCTTGTGTTCCACTTCAAGAAAGGAGATTAGCTTCAGGGAAGAGGACCTCAATTAACAATGCCACTCCCAAACATGATCCATATGATAGGGCTGCCAGCAACTGAGCTGAAGATAAGATATGGTAGTAAGCTGTCTTAAAAAGGCTGCCATTATTTCAACAGCATCATTTTCCCAATTATATGGTTTAATGAGGAACAAACATAGATATAAGCGTGCTGATCTTATATTTAATTAGTCTTCAGCCCATCAATATTACAATTTTAAGTAACTAGTAAAGGACATGTGTTTGTACATATAATTTACTTACTTAGTAAAGGACATATGTTTGTACATATAGTTTACTACAGCTGTGTTTCTGTGAGGGATTGTATAATGTGTGCGTGTATGCACATATGCACAAATGCCAAGTTCATGAAAATTTACCATTTGGCTAAAATTAAATCTAGGGATGATTAAATTAATTAAGAGATGTAGATGAAATGCTCTTAATAGGTAACATTGTCATAATTTGATCTATCTATTAAGTAAAGCTTTCTAAACTGTGGATTCTAGGAGCACATACTTGTTTCTGTATTACAGAGGCAGCTCTTAGCATATCAAACCATCTCTCACATATGCCAAATTTTTCACCTCATAAAACTAGCTTAGTTGCTTATTATGGGGAGTGAGAGGATGTGCTTGCTGCATGAGAATAAGAATAAAATTCCCTGTGTAAGCACAAGTTAACTTCTTTGTAATGTCATAAAAAGAAGCCACATCCTAAACAGGATTAAAAGAATTTTTCTACCACACATTAGATGTCATTGACCTACAACTCTATTCCAAAGTATCTGTCATAATTGGCTTTGATAAATACAGCTTCTGAGAGATGTAAGCAGTAGTGAGATTCAAATATGTGAACCGATTCTCTGTGTGAATGCTGCTTCTAGAAGTCCATTCTGGGCCTGGGCAACAAAAAATTAGCTATCGGTTCTGCCAAAGTGGTGTGAACTGGCTGAATCCCACCACTGGATGTAAGGCATCAGTATTTGGAGGTTCATGGGCTTTCCCTCTCCTAGAAAGTGAGACTGAGCCGAGAGTTGAAAACTGTCATTTATTTTATTTTGTAGTAAAACAAATATTCTGAGCTGTAAAGAAGAAATCTTAGAGAAGTGTTCCCCAAATTGGTGGACTCATAATAAGTATATGGAAGTAAAATTGCCATAAGAAAATGCTGGGTTGCATTTATGAAAGCTATAGACCAACATATCTAGAATGTATCAGATAAGGAAAGGCTGTTCTAAAGAATGTATGAAACCCATGTACTGTATATGTTTTATTCTTTACTTTATATTGTCATATAAATGACTTGTATGTATTTCCAATGTGTTTCAGGTGCTGTTTGCTTTGAATCAAACATTATTACAACATGAAAGTCTTCGAGCTGGCAGCTGGCAGGCTCCTTACACAACTGAAGACCTCATCAAGCATTACAACTGTGGTGACCTAAATGCTGTTATATTCAACCATGATTCTTCTCAGGTGCGATGATTTCACAATTGTCTTACCTTTGGGTAAGACAAAAAGGCATAATTGTAGCATCTCACCATTACAACTATTTCACATTTAATTTCTTTGGCCATCAGAGTTCTTTTAGATATGTGGAGACATCAAAACAGGTATCGCCCAATGATATTTTCCTATCCTCCTAATTTCCCAAAACAAGTATTTGAATTATCACTGGAGAGATAAGGAACATTTTATGACATCCACAGTCATCAACTCCTAATTTAATTAAACTAAACTAAACTAAGCGTAGCTTAGTAATACAGAATTTGTTTATACATGGAAGTGTAGCTAAATCCCTGAAATAGGCATAAGGATCAAGAAAAAAATATTTGACTGTGATTCAGAGTACATAGTTTGTTAAAATTATTCCTGGAATTAAAGAAAAGCTACTGAAGATAAAGCATGAGTTTTGTTCATATACATTAATGATAGTCAGAACTCAAAATGGATCTTCTTTAAAACATTTCTTCAGATCTAATTTAATGCTGGTCCTATTCTCAGTTATAGATGATCTTGCTGATTGTGGTGATGTGTCCTGCTTTTCTGTGACATATGAGATGCTATGTATTAATCAATAACTAATTAAACTCAGCTTAGGCTTTTGGTTTCATTGCATTTAATTATAGTTAGTATAGATATGAATCTGTATCTCCTGTTTGCTGGGTTTCATTATCTTCCCCTCACCCTCAAACTAGGAGAATAAGAAAGCATAAAGTATTATCTTCTGAGTCCTTGTTACTTTTCCAGATTTGCCCAAGTCTGAAAATAAAGTTGTTACAAACTCCATGGTCTTTGGGAGGACCTCCCACATGCAATACTCACCTCTGCCATTTTGGGAGATACCATTGTAGAACTGGACAATAACTTAGAGATGTGATTAGTAGTAAATAATCCTCAAAAGGCTTGATGTCCTAAGACATCAATTCTTCTGAAACTGCCCCAGTGACGTCTTCAAAATTTTGGTTGTCCCAAATACACCAGTCTTTCTGGTAAAAAATCTGTGTGGTTGCTAACATTGACTTGATGGCACATGATCAAAATCAAGCATGTTTTGATTTTGGCCTATTCCATAAAGCAAGCAAACAAATGTTTTCTTGAACAGATTTCACTATGGCAGTTGAAGGCTTATTAAAATAGCAGTACAAAAAAATGTGCAAAAGGAATAAACAAAGGAAGCAGTGGGACCAGGTGGTTACTTCAAAAACACTTATTTATTATAGCTTAGGGGGAAAAAGTTTGATGCCCTTATTAGGAGAAGGTCAAAGCATTTCAACCTAGAGCCGTGGTGGCGAACCTATGGCATGAGTGCCACAGGTGGCACAAAGAGCCCTCTCTGTGGGCACGTGCGCAGTCACCCCAGTCCTAGGCCTTCAGCTGGGTTTTATAAAACCTATTTGCTTTAGGCCTCCGCCGCTGTGTGCAAAAAAAAGAGGTTCAATTAATCAATTTCAACTTTTTGCGGGGGGAAAAAAGATCTCGCAAAGTTGGAATTGATTGATTGAATTTTTTAGTCCCACCCAGTCTGCCGTTACCACCACAGCCACACCCACCCAATGGGTCATGCCCATGCAATGGGCCATACCCATCCAATGGGCCACGCCCACCCGGCACCCGACAATACATAAGAAGTGGGTTGTGGGTTGCAGTTTTGGCACTCGGTTTCTAAAAGGTTCGCCATCACTGACCTAGAAGAATCATAAATACCTAGTCTAGGAGCTATGATGATAGGAGGTCTTATATAGTGAAAATAGGTTTCGTAGGAGTTAGTTGCATTGATCTTTGCATTCAGAACAATAGTTTTGGCGTTCCTTGATACTAGATAACTCAAATTATTATAATCATAATGCTAGTTGCTCCTGTAATTCAAACCCCAAACTGGTCTAAAACATTTGAAAGGATCCCATCCACAAAATAATCAAACCAGTTAATACTGCCTTGCCAATCTCGGCTTGCTTTATGCTTCCTCCTCTTTTGCTTGTCTTCTCTGCACCCTGGAAATCCTTATGTTCTTCGCACATCTCTGATTTTCTTTTAAAACACTATAATATTACCCCTATATTAATTTCTGTAGAGTTGCTCTCTATGTTTTGGTCTAATGATGGACTAAAAGTTTTTGAATGGAATGTGTGCATAATAGAAAGTTAACTGCAAGTGCTTGCAAGGCCTTTAAACATAATTTCCTCTCCTTAGGACAAAAGACTTTATAACAATTGAGTTTGTATCTGAAGAGGAAATGAGCATTATGTAAATAAATTAAGAGGCCAGTTCATTTCCTAAACGTGTCACAATTCATTCATAATTTGTGTGTCATATGACTTTGGGTGGAATCTATTGCTTTCTCTTAGACCTTCTATGTCATCATGAACTTAGAAATGCTTCTGTGGTTTTCTAACTTCCACCCTGTGCGAGGGATTCAAGCAGGCACAGCTTATACATCCGTAACTGTCACCAGCAAGAGGTAATACAATGGAATGTGATCCATCCACTTTAAGGACTTCTGTGTCACTGCTTAAATCACTTCAGTTTAAATGACTTGGATTAATTTGGAAGCCTCAGATATATCTGATAATGGGTTTTTTAAAATTAACAGAGAGCTATCCTACAAATAACTAGAGTGGGGGGGGGAAGCTTACATTTCACCAAAAATAGTAATCAACAGTAACTTATCTGTGACAGTAAAATAGAAATCTCACATAACCATTACAAAAAGTGAGGGGAACACATGTTTTTCAGTAAAAATCAATTATACCATCTTGATTTTAATTTCCACTGGGAACTTGAACAGCAAACAAAACAAACAAAAACTTGTATTGTTGGTGTGATTGTGTTACATTTTTCCCTCCATAGTTTTCTCACTTAAATCCTTATTTAATCTCAGTAAGGCTGAACAAGACAAAGTTTATTTAGTTGAAGCATGTCAGAGAAACACAATAGGAAACAGCTCACTTTGTTATACCCGTTTCTGCAACATACTTGGCTAATAAATTTACAGCACATTTTCTGGCAAAGCTGTCAAAGCGATACAAAACTTAACATTCTTTAAAACAAAGACAGAGATGTTGTGATTTCTCCTTCATTGCTCTCTGAGTGCATAGTCTTTGCTTTCAGGGAAGATTTCCCTGTTCAGATTTATGTTTCCATTAACATTTCCTGAGATTTGATTTGTGTAAGCATTTCAATGTCCATGCTAACTTCCATCTACTTTAGCCTTCATCTCACACTCAACTATCTTCTGTATGTGCTTCTACAGTATAGCCTCAGCTTGTGGTGCTATTTCTAAAGTGATTGAAGTTTGTAGCCTTTTAACTCCTCACTGTCTGAAGTCATTATAATGTAGTATAAACAGACATATGTTCCTATTCATTTAATTCTTTTTGTCATGCGTATTAGCTATAGGGGGAGATTTCTCTGAAGTTAAGTTTACAATTTTTGATTGGCTCCTATTATAAATTCACATAATCATGTTAACATATGCATTTTAACAATCATCTGTTTATCATTTGTACACAATCCAGTTTCAAAATCAGCCATACAATATTCAATATCATAAATTCTTTTTGTCTTCTTTCGCTCTTTCTGATGTCTGTAAATAGGAAAACCATTGATAGTTATGTCCCTCTGCCAACAGTTGTTCTCGATTTTATTTTGTATTCTGCTTGACAGAATTCTATTGTCTCATGATATGTTAACCATTTGTGTTTGCCTATTGTTTCTTGTATATAACAACTTTATTGTGCTGAGAAACACAAAGGTATTTCAGGAACAAACTGGATTTACTGTATATCTATTCCATATTCTTAGTATAGCATGTCTAACATGGTGATTTTTAAAATCTACATTAACCTTGATTTTATCATTCCACAAATATCCATGCCACCCAAATCTCAGGTCATGCTCTTCTAACTCTAAAAGTCTTCTGTTTCTCAACAGTGGTGTACTGTAAACTATGATGTGGAAATCAGAAAGTTAAATTTGGGGCAAGAGCATTATTTGGCTCCGAGGGTCTGTTAAAATAGGATTTATGGTTACTGTTGCTACTAAGCTGGTTCAATATAGTAAGAGGTTGTAAGCTTTATTGATTCATAAAAGGCTGAATATCAATTATAAATCATATATATAATATGATTTATGATTGATTTTAGATAAGGAGGTGGTCAAACTCTTGATTTCTCTCAGTGGTAGTTGAGAGATAATGTGACCTTATAAAAACCATGACTAAGTTGTTACACTATTGTAAAAATGTTGCTTATCCAAATGGGTCAAAGTACATATGTTTAATATGTAGTGTGCAGCTTTGGGGAGAGGGGTATTTTCAGATTCAAATTGCTAAAGATGGCATGGTTATGACCTCTGAACAATACACAACTGCATCTTTAATGTATTACAGTTTCTGGATGTGTTTGGTACATGCATTGTAGTAATTAGTATTTGTAGAAAAAGCATGTCTGAATGCAACCAAAACATTTTTTTTTCAGAAATAGGGTTAACTGGTGCATCAATTGAAGCTTGGCAGTGATAAATCTAACTCCAGAGTTAAAATCAGGTCCTCTGGATTTCTAAAAATAGATGTTTTGTGTAGTCCATCCTGCATGGGATAATCCTAGACTTCTGAGTAGTTAGCATGCAAGTTAGCAAACTCCTTTTTTAAGCAAAAGAATTTGTGCAATTCATGGAGGAGGAGGAGCTTCTGCTCCAAGGACATCTAAATGAGAGTAGTACTTCCTTCAACTTTAAAAGTTGAACAAAGAAAGTAAAAATTTTAAGAGGTCATTAAATGCAGTAATCTGCAGCCTCCATGCTACTTGAGAACTAAGGAAGATGTCATGCTTATTTATTGATCAACTGTCTGATTGCAAGATTTACATGCTCCTCCCATCCAAATATTTTGAATGATTCATATTATGGGACACCTCATTTCTGAATGTTGTGATAGAGCATCAAAACCTATCTGCACAAAATCTTGCAGCAGGCTG